CACTTTGCCCTGATATGTGTGCTCTACAATAAAAACCAAATCTAATATATTTTGAAACAGTTGTCTGATGCTGTCGTAAGAGAGGACTTGCCTTTGGTTCTTCCTTAATCCCTTTGTTTTGCCCTGAAACTCTGAAGGGGGTGGGGGGGCAGAGTTCATTGCCCACCGAGGCTGCAGAGGAGAGGAGCAGTTGCTGACGCAGGGCTGAGGACGGGCTCGCCCACTGTCTTTTCTCCAACTGCAAGGAGGATGGACTTCGTAAGCCGTATGTCCAGGTGCCCAGGGCACCGTGGGCCCACAGGAGCCAGGATCCTACTGTGCTGAGTTCTGGAAGCCCGTCTTCCTTGGGGTGATCAGAGAGGCTGCGGGCCAGTGGAGGAGGAACAGCACGAGCAAAGGCAGGAGAGGGCCTGGCCTCTGTAGACAATACGTAGGTGGTTTTGCTCATTAAACAAATTCTGGAGTTCCTGCTATATGCTGGCCAAGCCCTTACTGTGGCCCCATAGTGAGCAAAACCCTTCCAGCCCCTGCTCTCAAGATGAGTACGGTAGAGTGGTGGATGCAGATCCAGGCTTGAGGCAGAGGGGTTTGGGTAGAGTAGGGGTGGGGTCCAGGGGGTTTAGTCCCTCCAGATCCTGGACCTGGCTCCCAGGTTCTGGTCAGGGGCTTTGGTCTAGAGTCTCCCTCATTCATTTCCAGTGCCCAGAGCCAGTCTGCTTGGCCAAATTCTTGCTGTGAAAACCTGGCAAGCCACTTAACTCCCCATTTAACAGGGAGGGGAGAGTCCAGAGGGAGCAAGTGAGTGGCCAGGGCTCAGGCCTGCAAATCAGTGACAGGATGTGAAGTGGGGGTGGGGTGGGCAGAGCCTCCTTGGGGTCTGTGGCCAGTTGGGCCTGCAGGGGTAGCCACGGGGCTGGGCGGATAGGGCCCTGGATGCCCTGGAGAGGAGACATTGGAGCTGAGGGAAAGGTCACCCACACCGTGCCTGGGCCCCTGACTTGGGTCACGGGATGGGGGCTCATGCGGAGGGCTGGGGAACTGCGAGGGATTCTCCACTGCAGTTGTGATAAAGCCAGACCTGGGTTCTTCCTAGTGAGTGAAGGAGGCCCTTTGCCTTGAGGACTGAGGGATGAGGCCAGAGGAACGGGGTCCAGCCCTCAGAGGTCCTGCTGTGTCTCTGGCGCTGGTTTCTGTCCCTGTACAGCGGTTCCGTGGCACCCCGTCTCTGGGACTGTGAGAATCCTCTGAGTAGTTCCCAAGCAGATGGGGGGGCCGTATCTGAGTCCCTGAATCTGACTGTTCCCAGCCCTCTGCTGGGGCACTAGCTAGCTGTTTGGGCCACGTGCTGAGTCCCATCTCTGCTCCCAGCCCAGGCTTGTATACAGAGGTGCTCTAACAACGTCAGGCTCCAGCCCTTCCCAGCTGGGGAACCCATCCCATTCCTATAATCCTGTTGTGTGGTGGGGGAAACTGAGGCCCAAAGTCACATTCATTCATTCAAAAAATACGAGTGTCCGACTGTGCTGAGCTCTGGTGAGGGTACAGGACAAGCTGGTGTGTGTCACATACACATACACACACACACACACACACACACACACACACACACACGTAAGGTTATTGTAGAGCGTACTGATAGATGTGTAGCACATAAGTTACCAGTAATAAAGCGTAGCACTCTTTAAGTTCTGTCTAGCCCGCTGTTTCTCACAGAATGCTCTTACTGATTTTAGTTGTTGTTGAGTTCTTGTATTTGTAGCTCACCTGTGGTGGTAATTCAGCCACAATATGGTAAACGGAGCTGCATCCCATCTACCTGTATTAGTTTCCTGTGGCTGCTGAAACAGATCACAACACGTCCGGGGGCTTAAAACAGCAGACGTTTATTTTCTCACAGTTTGGAGGTCAGAAATCCCAAATCACCACCACTGGGCTGGAATCAGTGTGGCAGGCCCACGCTCGCGTCTGACAGCTCCCGGCGGCTGTTGACATTCCTTGACTTGTGGCCACATAACTCTCGTCTCTGCCTCTGTGGCCACACGGCCTCCTCTTCTGTGTCCCAGATCTCCTCTGCCTCTCCCTCATTACAGCCTCCCTTGATAACCAAAAATAATCTCCCCATGTAAAGATCTTTAATCACACTGGCAAAGCTAAAAAATGTTAAAAAAATTTTACATTCCAGGGATTGAGACCTGATACCTTTGGGGGCCACTGTTCAGCCTACTACTACCCTGCTCTCTTCCCAATAAGTTTGTCCTTAAATTTGAGACATGACCTACTGATTACTCACTGATGAACAGATTGTTAGTGGGACTGAAATGTTTCAGCCTCAGTATTAGTTTTAAATTTAATCTGCATCGTTAATATTTTCTCCACCCATTTCTTAAGTCTAGACCTGTGCTGTCCAGTACATTAGCCACTGGAAGCTCGGCTGTTGAGCACCTGAAGAAACGTGGCTGGTTTGAATTGAGTTGTGCTTTAAGCGTAAAATAACACACCAGAATTTGAAGAGTTAGTACAAAAAAAGAGTGTAAAAAATATCATTAGTTACTTTATATTGATTACATGGAAATGATAATATTTTGGACATACCTGGGTTAAATAAAGTATGCTATTTAATTTTACCTGTTTGCTGTTACTGTTTAAGTCTGGCTACTAGGGAGTTTGAAATTACATGTGTGGCTTGCACTGTGTCTCTGTTGGAGGCACTGGTCTAGAACATGAGTGGTAAACCCAGCCTGATTTGTGGCCGTGGAAACATTCCCTTCTGGCTGGTTCCAAGCACAGCCGCGAGCGCCGTTATCACAGTGTCTCCACCACACAGATGCAGCCAGTGTAATGCAGAAGAACAGACAGGAGGGAAACCGAAGTAAACCCGGAAGTGCTTAGTTCTGAACTTTACCTCTGTTTTCAGTGTAAGTTAGTTTTTAAACAATGGCTGTGTTTAACAGCCAGCTCACAAAGATTCTTAAATCCTGACAACTGGCAGTTGCAGGGCTTTGCGGAGAGGAGGATGTGGTCAGACTTAGTTAGGGTGAGAGCAGAGAAGGAGCGTGGCAGGCACGGCACCTGTAGAGATTAAGGGGCTCCAAACGGAGGGCCTGGGGTCCTCCAGCTGGGTGTCGGGGCGTTCCCTGGCGCACTCCCTCCGGTGCCCACAGTGCGGCAGCAGAGTCCCAGCGGAGAGTCCCCACTCACTCGGAGTGGGCGGGGCACAGCCCTCCCTCGGTTTAGATGGGGAGCTGAGGCCCCGGGGCAAGAACTTGGGTTCCCCACTGCTGCCACCCTGCTCAGCCAGGGCCCCCGGGTGAGCGGCTGTGCAGGGCCACCCAACTCGCCGGGCATAGTTCCCCGAGCCTTTGTGCTGCCAGTGCCCTCTGCCTTAGGCGTCTCCTGCTGGAAGCCACCTTGTGGGACAGGGCTGCCCTGGGCTCCGTGGACCGCAGGCTTCCCTCAGCACAGCCCAGGGAGTTCTGTGTGGCCCAGTGCTGCCACTGCAGGCTGGGAGACCAGGACCTGACTCCCTAACTCCCACCCTCTCTGGACTCATCGTGAGTGAGGCCCTTTACGATCTGTCTCATTTAATTCTCACCACAATCTCTAATACCTCGCTTGGGGCCCGGGCTCAAATCCTGACTCTGCCATGTACTAGCTGTGTGACTCTGGGCAGGTTACTTAAATCTCTCTGATCTTGGTTTCTTCCTCTGTAAGATAGGCGTAGAATGAAAGGAATGACTGGTGCCTGGTACAGATCAACTGCTCAGTGTTAATAAATGGTAGCAATTACTATTCACCCCCATCTTGCAGATGAGTAAACTGAGGCCCAGAAAGATGAAATGGCAGAGCAGGATTAGAACTTGCAGCCACAGAGACGAATGAAGCACAGAACTCCACCTTCCAGTAGGCCTCTGAGATCCTCAAACCTGACACCCCTGCAGGGGGCTGGTGCATCCACATCCCCAGGTCCTGTGACCCAGTGTGAGCTGAGAAAAGCACAGTTCAGACCCAGGCTCAGGGCAAGTGTCAGGCCTGGCAGCCCTGTATCTGGAGAGGGAGCTCTGGGCTGGAGGTCCAAAGACCCCTGTGTGGTCCCCCACGTGACCCTGGGCAGGTCACTTCTCTCTGAGCCTCAGGTTCGTCCCTTGTAAAACGAGGACAGGCTGGGTCTGCCCCAGCCTCCCGCTGCCTGGCCCCTTCCCTGAGGCCCAACACACTGCTCACCCTCTGTGGGCCCCAGAGCCCCTGCCCCTGCCCCTGCCCGTCCCCTATATGGGCCCTCAAAGCCGCCATGCAGGATGAGGGCTCCGGTGCTCTCCCAGGCAGCCCCCACCCTGCTGGACCCCTCATCTCCTCCCACCCAGGCCCTGCCCGCCCTGCCCCCAGCCCAGATTCCACTCCAGGAATCGCGGGGCCTGCCAGGCCCCCCGGAGCCGAGCCGCCAGGAAGAAGCTGCTTGTGTGGTTTGGGCAGCAGAGGAGGGTCGTGGCCTCAGCCAGGATCTGGGCCAGCTCCTGGAAGGCGGGGCCGTCTCCCTGGCCCAGGCTGTCCCGCCTTCCCTCCCACTCCCTGGCTGCCCCTACTCGGCCTCCCTGCGGGGCTTTCGCCCTTCTTCCCTCCTCTCCACAGGTGGCCTTGGGCCTTAGCTTCCGTTTCCTGTCTGTGAAGTGGGCTGTCCTTGTACCTACCTCCAAGTGTCATGGCCAGGTCCAGGTCGATAAAGCACAGATACAGCATCTATGGGGCGCCTGCCTCTGAGGATGCCAGCCTGGCTCGGGGACACCCCTACTCTGCACCTGCCTCGCCACAAGCTTCAACCACCATTTCCTATGACCTCTGACTCCCAAACAATGTGGACTGTTATTATTTGCGTTTTGTATTTTTAATGCAGTATTTCAAATACACTGAAAAATACTTGGGAAGCCACGCTACCACCCACACGTGTTAACAGTTTGTCGCATTTGCTTCTGACCTTTTTTTTATTCATCTGTACATTATTTTTGAAATGTGTTGAGTACCTACCGTGTGCCAGGCACTGTTCTAGGCACTGGGGACACAGCAGTGAACAGCAGCATTAAAAACTGAGCCCTCGGGGAGCACATTCTCAAGCTGGAAGACAAGTAATGTACACAGAAGTCAGATGCACGGTGGGTGAGAAGAGGCAGGCAGAGAGGAACAGGCAAGGGAGGCATCAGGAATCGGGAGGCTGGCGGGGGGGCTTACTTGAGCAAGTGTCATGAGGTCAAGACCAAAAGGAGGGGAGGGATTTGGTTAAGTGAAAACCTGGGGGCAAAGCGTCCCAGCTAAGGAAATAGCCAGTGCAGGGGTCCCAAGGCAGAGCCTGTCTGGTAGGTTTGAAGAATGGTGAGGCAGCTGGTTATGAGCCAGAGTCTAGGAATGGCTGGCTCACTAGGTACACAGCCTGCCAGGCCCTGGGCTCCACGCCTGTTTGGAATCATCTCATTTAGTCCTTACTGCATTTTACAGATGGGGAAACTGAGGCCCAAGGTGGACAAGTGGCTTACCTGAGGTCACCCAGCTAGCAAGGGGATGTCTTGGGATTTGAAGCCAGACCTGGGTCCCACCTCAGAGCTGGGCGAGGGCCCTGGGGTGGCCAAGGAGAAGGAGGAGGAGGAGGGTGTAGGGAGAGGCCACCCCACCCCGGAAATGCCGAGAAGGTAGCAGCCCATCCCTGGCCTGAGGCTGACCTGAGGCTGGGAGGCTGCAAGAGGGACCGGCTTTCCCTTTGAGTGCTGCTGACTCAGGCGCCCTCCTGCCCCCATCATCCCCCCAACATCCAGGACAGGTGCGGGGCCGCCTGAGGTCACTGAAGACCTTGTGTCCATGCCCTTGCCTGGGCTCCCCAGAGCCTGTTTCCTGCTTTGAGCAATGAGCAGGCGTGGCCCTGTTGCCCTGTGACCATGGTAATCATACACCTGGGCCTGGGCTCACGGGGGAGGGGAAGCACAAGCAGTCCGTCCTTGGTGTCCCACACTCACCCCGTGCCATTCCTAACCCTGCCCCACGTGTGGATGGGCTGGGCCTATCTGCTCACGTCTCAGTTTACCCATTTAACCCCTTGAACCTGATCAGATGGGGCCAAGCTGGGGCCTTAGGGTCACCTGGGAAAGGACTGGTTTAAAATCCAGGCTCTGGGGCCCTACTCCATAGGCATTCGTACAGGTGTGGGGGGAGTTCTGACACTCTGAGAACCCCTGCTTGCCTGGGCCCCCCCTCTCCACCCCTTGCCCGCTCTACCGTTGAACTGCTCACCCATTACAGCCCAGCTTGAACTGCCCCCCTCCCTCCAGGGGCACCTACCCTGCGTCAGATGCCTCTTCTGGGCTCCCACCGCCCCCGGGTGTCCCCATCACAGCACAGCGAACTCCGGGTGGCTGTGGTCTCCACTCGGCTCTGTGCTCCCCTAGACTGTGAGCTGTGGGTGTGCGGTGGGGCAGGCATGGCTGCTTACTGCCTGCTGACTCGGTCCCCTTTCAAAGACAGAAGTGGAGACTGAGGAAGGGCAGGGACTTGCCGAGGGTGACAGAGAGGCAGAGCTCAAACAGCAATTAGCAAGAACACTAACGACAGCTGAGTCCCACACGGCACTTCCTGTCTGCCTGGCTGCGGTCTGGTCTAAGGGCTTTACAAGTGCTAATTCATCTCATCTTCGAAACGACCCTCTGAGGCAGGTACTAGGATTACCCACTTTTTTTTTTTTTTTTAAACTTTATTTATTTATTTATTTATTTGCAGTACACGGGCCTCTCACTGTCGTGGCCTCTCCGGTCGCAGAGCACAGGCTCCGGACGCGCAGGCTCAGCGGCCATGGCTCACGGGCCCAGCCGCTACGCGGCATGTGGGATCTTCCCGGACCGGGCATGAACCCGCGTCCCCTGCATCGGCAGGCGGACTCCCAACCACTGCGCCACCAGGGAAGCCCCCCTACCCACGTTTTTACAGGTGAGGAAACCGAGACAGAGAGCTTAAGCATCTTGCTCCAGGCCGCACAACTTCTTAAACGCAACGGACGGACTAGGGATGTGAATTAACACCTTCCTAACGTTTCCCCGTGTGAGGCCTTCGTTCTGCAGAAGAGGCCACTGGGGCTCAGGCTGTGAAAGTCAGCCATGGGTGGCAGGGCACGGACCAGAACCCAGGCTTCAGACCTGCTTGAGCTGCCTGTGCTGGGCATAGCATGGGCAGAGGCCGGAGGTGCCTGACCCTTCTCGGTGCAGTCAGCTCAGGCCCCTTGCCTGCGCCCACCTGTCTTAGCTTCCTCATCTAGAACCTCGGGGGCTTCCTCCCTCACAGAACTGTTGAGAGCACTTAATCAGCTGAAACCAGGAAAGGGATGTGATTGGTGCCTGCCACACCTGTAGACACTCATAAGCCTTGTTCTTATCTTCCTTCGTCTCACCTCCCTGCCCCTCTGCTCGGGCCTCTTCTAGATCCAGCCCCAACCCCAGGTAAGGGCTGAGCCGGGCTGACTGGGGGCGGGGGGGTGGTCAGGCCTGTGGCTTGGCAACTGCCTGGGGTCACAAGTCAGGTGCCTCCCTTGACACAGCTGGTGGGGTCTGGCCAGGCCTACCTGCCCCACCTAAGCTTCTGGGACCCTGAGCCCAGGGCAGCCTATTCTCGGTCTCGGAAGGAAAGGTTCAGCCTCCAGGCCACTGTCCAGATGAGAAAAGGAGGCCTGGGATGTGGGTGGGGACAGGCCATCGTCCCTCAGCGTGGAGGCGGTGCAGCTTTGCTTATACACCATTCCCTGCGTAGGGAGGCCCTCCCCCCACGTCGGAGAAGCCCGGATCCAATCTCGGGACCAAATGCCAGCTCCCCAGGAACGGCCTCTTCTCCCCACTGGGTCTCTGTCCCTCTCTTTAGCTGATGGCGCTCCTAAGAATCTCCCGTGCTGCCACCAGAGCTTTTTATGTCGGATCCTGAAGGATGTATATAGTTGTTCCCCAGGGGGCTGTGGGCGGAGGAGGGCAATCCTGACTGACCACCCAGCGGGACCAGGAGCGTGGCGTGGGCGGTGCTCTGGCGCGCTGGAGGATGGTCCAAGTGGTGTCCCGTGAAACTGGTCAAACATAATACAACTCGTCAATCACCGGGCCAATGGCGCAGATGGGGAAACTGAGGCCGGGGACCAGGGAGTCGCCCCTGTCAGAATTCTCCTGGCTTTCGGGACGGGGCTGCCTCATTACCTGAGTGTGCGCGTCGCTCGCTCATTGCAAGAAGGGAAAAGCCTCCTCCAAATGGGGGAACGCGCGCCTCGCCTCAAAAACTCGTTCCCAGTAGCCCACGCCAGAGCTCTGCTCGTGGACTACAAGTCCCGGGAGGCCCCGCGGCGCAGCGCACGCGCAGCGGGCGTGCTCGCGGGCGCCCACCGAGAGGCGGCAGGGGCGGGGCGGGCGGCGCGCGGGCCGCCCATTGGCCAGGAGGCACGTCCGTTGGGCGGGCCCGCCCCTTGCAGGACCCGCCCCACCGCGCCCGCGCCTGGCGCCCGCGCCTCAGGACCTGCGGGGCCGCGCGGTGCATCCTGCGGGCGGCGGCGGCGGCGGCGGCGGGCGGCCGGGCGCAAGATGATGAAGTTTCGGTTCCGCAGACAGGGCGCCGACCCGCAGCGCGAGAAGCTCAAGCAGGAGCTCTTCGCCTTCCACAAGGTGCGGCGGCGGGCCGGGGGCGGCTGGCCGGGGGCGGGGACCGGGCCGGAGCCACGTCGGGCCGGGGGAGGGGTCGCACGCTGGGCCCGGCCGCCCCGCTCTGCTCTGCCCGAGCCGCGCGCCAGCCTCGCTCCGTCTCTGCTCTCCGCTCCCCTGCTTCTGTCTCCGCGCCTTGGACTCTGCCGGCCTCTCCCTGCGGGCCTCTCCGCCTCCGTGTGTCTCCGGGCGGCTCTCAACTCTCGCTCCGGCTCCCACTCTCTTGTCTCTTTATCTCTTTCTCGGGGACCCCTCGGCGCCCCTGCGCAGCCCTTGGGCCCGGTTTGTTTTGCTTTCGCACCCAGGCCGATGGGGAGGGGTGCGGAGTGGAGGCAGATGTTGGGGGGTGGGGCTGGGAAATCCCTTCCCGGTTCCTCTCCTCCCTTCCCCCACCGCCCGGGGCTCCGGCTTGCTCTCTGCCCGGCATCGCCGGGGGCTCCAGCGGGGGATGCCTGGCCGTTTACTCAACTGCAGTTCGAATCGCGGGGCCTCAGTTTCCCTTGCTATGGAATAGGGCCACTGTCCTCCTTGCTGTGGGCTCTGTCACAGGGGCAGCCGACCCACCGCCTCTCCTGGAGCCAAGGCGGAGGTGGGGGCGGAGGGCTGCTCCTTCCTTTCTTTCTTGGGTAGGGCCAGAGGGGCCACGGGAAAGGGGCTGCCTTCAGCCCCGCCTCCCCTGCGCTGGTGTGTGGTTGAGAGAGGCCCCAGCCTGCCCCTTGCTAACTCTCCCCAGGGGTGTCACTTCTGGCCTCAATTTTACACCCAAGTCCTTTGATCGCAGGGCCCCTTGCTGCTCTTGGGGCCTAGAGTCATTATGCTCACACACCGGTGAGAAAATTGAGGTTTAGGGCTGACCACGTGCCCAAAGTCAGAGTGAGCTGGGGCACTTGGTCTTTGGGTCCCCTTGTCAGTGGGATCTGACTTTAGCCTTGAGGGCCAGGGGCTTCGGGAGGGGTGCTGTGGTCCCCACCTGGCTGCCAGGAGACTCTGGTCCAGGAGGAAGCTCTGGGGCGACCGGTCCCGCAGTGACCGAGGCTGGGTCACCTCTCAGGGTAGGCGGGGTTTTCCAGGTGGCGTAGGGGCTGCCAGGACCCTCAGACTTGGTGGCCAAGGGGCCCAGAGAGGAGGCTGGTGCCCAGGGGCTCTGAGGTGTCCCCCTTCCCTGTGCTGAGTGGCCGAGGATGAGCCCCCTCGAGATGAGAGGACAGTGATGGTGGGGCAGGCGTAGTGCTCAGGTATCACTTCCTCAGCCAGGGAGGCGGGGTGTGAAGTGGGGACCTGAGACAGGTGGAAGGGAGGCTTGCTCCCCCTGGCTGGCGCCTGGTGGCAGAAGCTGGTCTCCCTGCCAAGGAGGGTGAGGCCCTGTTCTGAGTGGGCAGCAGTGGTGGGAGGGGGTGGTCTTGGGCAGAGGGTCACTAGAGAGGAGGGGCTGGTAGGTGATCACTAGAAAATAGGCCCAGATTCCCGAGTGGTGGGGCATGGGCAGGGGGTGGTGGTCCAGGGTGAACCTGGACTTTGGACTCAGTCTTGGGTCCAAATCCCAGCCCTGCCCACAAGTTGCCTGTGGCATGTCCACTCTATATCAGTTTAACGAATACCGCATCGGGGTGGGGCTGATGTACTAGTTGGGGAGATAGTGAGAAGCCGAAAGAAGAGAGGCAAGTGTGCGGCCTCCAGTGGTTTGGTTGGTGGTCAGTGCCGTGGGTGAAATCAGGCAGGTGAGGGTGTGGAGCAATGGTTGCTGGGCCAGCGCAGGGGGCCTCTGAGCAGTTGTCTTCTGAGCCGTGGGAAGGAGCCCACCGTGGAGAGTGCCGGGTGAAGCACGTTCCAGGTAGACGGACCGTAGATGCAGAGGTCCTAGTAGATTGGAGGAGGACGGAAGGCCATCGAGTGGGCTGGGGGCCGGTGGGAGGAGCCAGGTGGAGGGGACTTGGCCTTGACTCGGAGTGAGCCGGGAGCCCCGGAGGTCCTGAGCAGAGGAGTGGGCCGCCAGACTCGGTCAGGTCCAGTGTGGGCATGGCGGTGCCGGTGCTCCCCAGCCCACCCCAGTCAAGTGGGCTCACGAGTGCCCATATGGGAAGCCGAGGCTTGGTCAGTGCTGTGACTCACCCAAGGCCAAGCCAGGTGCTCAGAGGGCTCAGTCCCTGCCCGGATGGGGTGAGGCTGGAGGCAGGCTGGGGCCACAGGCCTGGGGACCAGGGTTCCTTATAAAACTTGTGTCTTGCTGATGCAGTGGTCAGGGGGTACCAGCACCCATATGGGGTGTCCCACCTTGGTGTTGAGGGCAGGGGGCTGGGGGCCCAAGGGTGCAGGCTTCCCAGGGAGGGCCCCCAGCCAGGCCTCGGGGTTGACTAGGGGCTCCTTGGGTAGGTGGGGGGGGCGGCGAGCCAGGGCTGGTCTGCACTGGGACTGGCCCTGCCGGGAGCTGGGGACCTGGTGGGAGCCGTTGCATTGACACCCCCAGTGCACAAGCCCCCTGCCCACCATCCCAACCAGGGATGGGAAGGGAGTCACGTCTCCCAGTTTCCAGGTGGGAACCCAAGTCTGGCAGGTGCGTGACACCTTCGGGGCCTGGGCAGGAAGCTCCTTCTCTCTGGGCTCCAGTCTCCCTGTCTCTGGGGCTGGGGAGCAGCCCCGGGTCGGGGTGGCGCTCGAGAGCCTCTGCCTAGCTGGCCTTGGCTGCTGGCCTCTGACCACCCGTCAGAGCCTGTGTTGGGGGTTGCCTGGGACCACACCCCACTTCAGTCTGCCAGGAGGAGTGGGGTGCGGAGCCCTGCTCTGTGGGGCCGCGGGGTTCACTTCTGTGCCTGCGCCTCCTCTCGAGCCCCGTTCTGTTTGTTTTCAGAACCCTGCGCACGGTGGGGTGGACCCGAGTGTAGAGAGGGACGGGGCCTCGACCGGGGTGGGGGGCCTCTGTGGCGGGGCCAGGGTTTCAGGCCCTTCCTCACCGGAGCTGTGATTACCCGTTTCGCAGCTGAGGGCACTGAGGCCCGGAGCATGGGTGCGAAGCAGTGGCAGAGCCTGGAGGCTGCCTTGGGGTGGGTGGGCCGTGCCTGTGCCAA